TCTCTCTCTCTCTCTCTCTCTCTCTCTCTCTCTCTCTCTCTCTCTCTCTCTCTCTCTTTCTTTAAACAGGCATAAAAATCGTGATCGAAAAGATATTGATCTTGATTTTAATCTTTTTAATTTAACTAAGAATAAAAATTTTTCAAATTTTTTTAGAACGATAATTCGAGTTAAAAATATCGAACGATTAGATATATAAAAAATCAAAAATGTCGATCCATTGTTTGCATTAACGTGCTATATGATCCCAAGAAATAACGTAGTTCGGTGAAATTGTAATCGAATTCCAAGCTGAGGCTACTCGTTGCGTGGGCCTGGCACACGATTGCAACAGGTGGGAGTCATTCCCAACCTGTTGCGCCTACACTGTTTCAAAAATACGTTGAACCGTACAGAGCGAACATTTGCGCTCCAATCAAGAATTGAATATGTGAATAATTTTTATATTGTCAGAATGAAGAATTTCTTTTCGAATATTTTGCGCCTCTTATATAAAACTTATGAAAAATAACTTTGTAATATAAATAACATTACAAAATATTATTAAGGATTAAACTTTATTCATATCAAATTTTAGAAGAATTTATTTCTATTCAATAATTGCGTTGGATGAGATAGTAAAACGATCTGAAGCAACGTCATGAGAGTCACTATGTGAATTTTAGAAGAATAAGCCTTTTACTTTCCTGCATCCCGAGTTCCAGCCGTTAGAAATTTCTGTTATGCCAACGATGCGACACGGCATCCGGTTGTTTCCCACTGTCTGTTGCGAAAACACGAATAATTATTCTATGAGCGCGAGTAACATCTACTAGACACCTTTTACCAGGAAAAAAATTCTCTCTTCGTTGCATTTCAATTCGCGACAAGTTTGTAACGTACTAATTTAACACCACAAACCTACTTACATCTTTCTAGACGTTCGTATAAAACAACAAATGATTTCTTGCTTACAGAAAACAAGGGAAAAAAATATATCCTTAATAAAATTTCCAATATTCTTACCACGTAAAACGAAACGAATCAAGCATGAAAATTGCAAGAATTCAAATTACCTCGATATTTATTTTTCATTGACAAATATTTGACAAAATTTTTTCAAACTACTACTTGTTGCAACATATTATTTCTCGGATACGAACATTCCACACTGGCTATCACATATATCTTGCAGAAGAGCGGACCTCACACCCGGAAGACAACCACGACCTGTCCTTTCTCATTCACGACCAAACCGAACAATCGACCATTCACTAAACAAACCTCTATCCATCTCTCTACCTCAAAACTCACCTTCGTCCCCCGAAACTCATCCCACGATGAATTTCACCGGTAATAGCGCACAATTTCTCCATTTGGTACGCCGAGGATCGGGATAACGCTCTCGTGCTATCGTCGAATAACGTGAAACGTTTGATATTTAACGGGTCGCACAAAGGTTAGCCAGGATCATTTGGCTGTCATTGTCCCCGCGCGCACTTTCACTTTCGACGCGAAGCGACTCGATTCGGCCGCGATACGATTCCCGATTTCTATCCGGCCGATCTAATTTCGCACGGCGCGCTTTCTTACCAACCGAGGAAAACGTTGCTCCTTATACGGCAATAACTATGCCAGGTTATTCAACGCTCACGATTACACGACCGACCGATTCTTACCATCCTCCGTTTCTTTGTTCCTTGTAATTGTGTAACGTAGCATTGTCGATTGTACGAAAGGGAAAATTCTTGGAATTGCAAGTATGCGAACGCCGTTCGATTCATTGATCCATGATATCGATTTTGATAGAAGATGGATAAACGTATGATAGAAATCGCTTTCGGAAATATTGCAAAAGTTTTATAAATGTTGTTTTCGAAAAAGTAATTTTGGTAGAATTTGTGGTATATAAATGATTGAAAGTCGATTTTTGGGACTGGATGCAAGTTGTAGCGTTAAAAAATCTTAAAAAATGCCATCCATCCTTTGTTTCTGAACTTTTGAATTTAAAATTGAAAAATTTTAACGGTAAAGATCATGCAGATTGATTAACGCGATCAAATTCAACGTGAAACGTTCTAGAGCTCCATGACCATATTTGATCTTGGACAAGGTTTACGGCAATCGCGAGTATAAAATATCTTGCGAAACAAGGGGACGGCTGTTGCACGAGCGAAAAACATTCCAAAAACGAGTGAAAGTGCAACGTTCTGTCGGATTTTATCGTGCCGTTTGCAAATATTGGCTGCATTAATCCGGATGCAAACATCGTAATTGAGTAATCGAGTTGAATCGCTGCCTCGTGAGATTGTCCCGGGTATGCGCAATCACGACTCGTCGGAAAATTTCGTTATCCACACGGGAACAAAATGGAACTATGTTTTGATAGGGTTTTCAATCAACATTGATATCGTTGTTTCTACCGTTTCAACCAAATATTTACCCATTCGAAAAGCAATTAGATTATCTCTTTGGTTTATCTATTTTTTCTTTTTATCAACTCGCTTATTCATTCATTTTTCATTCAAGCTTAATAAAAACTTAAACGTAACATCGTTCGAGAATGTTAGATTATATGGAAATTAATTTCAATTCATAGATATAATAATTAACGTATAAATAAAAATTTGTAATTCGAAAGTTCAAATGTAAGAAAATCGTCGAAATATCTCAACAAAGTCATCAATATGCATCGATTTTCGATAAATCGTAAGACGCGATCGTGATCGAAGAAAAGGATTTTTCCTGGACAACGAAGAAACTAACTGTTCACCGATCGATTCGAAAGCGGGACCATGGCCAATTACCGCTAATCGCGATTAACTAATTGCAACTAAATTGAACGTACGAGATACACGGTACGCGTCACGTGCTCCACGGCCCCATAAAGTTCGACGTGTTGTGGCACGATTGAGAGCGGCTACAGCGTTTGTTTCGTGGCGCGGATTAACATTTGCCGCACGATACAAATAAGGTACCGTTGCGTTCGTTTGACGATGCATTCCACCGTCGGCTCACGGAACGACACTGACGACCTGCATCGTCTAGAAATTGAGACGTGACGAGATTGCGCGCTGTT